AAGCAGCCAAACAAATGTTTCAGTCCTTTTATCAGTTATGAATACAAATCCAAACATTGTTGTTCTCTAGTGATTGTTTATACCAACAAATGGAGTACATATCAACCCATATTTGTTTGTTCAGTATGTTGTATTGAAGATTAAGACATGACCATAAGCTTTAAAATCTTCAAGCATTTGAGAGTCACGCTAAAAATAGCTCACAACATTATTTTCTTATCCCAATTTCAGTCTATACAAGAATGAAGGATCTTGATCCGCTCTTTCTTGAAGGGTGTCTAATACATTCTGCATGTCTCCACCTTCCACCATACTCATTTTCACCCTTGATACATAGTTAAGGTGATCTCTCTTAGTATGACCTACACATTCTTCTCCTCCAGCTTCATTGAATATATAATTATAAGCATACATTGGTTTAATACCACTCTCAATCATGCTCTCAATTAGCTCACCCATTGGAGCTGATATTTGCCTTTCTGATCTTAGATGATGTCGTTGAACTGTTACTACTAATTCATGACTATGTTCCAACTCATGTGTAAGAACAGCAAATCTACCTTCTACATTTTTCTTAAAACGAATATTAGCTTTGCACCCAGTTCTTGTCTCATTTACTTTCCTTTCTTTTCTTTTTCTTTCATTAGTTTTACCCAGTATGGGTATTTCTACTGAATTTTGTTCACCTGCAATCTTCATTTTTCCCTTTGTCTGTCCTTCCTTAGAACATCTAAAATAAAAGTGATACAGTGAATCATTATTATCTCTTCTCTTTGTTGATTTTCTGACGCTGAAACCAACAGACCTTAAACGAGCTTTGTATAAAAAAATATCCATCATTGTAGTCTGATACTGTATAACCTGCTAAACATCTATTTATGTTTTCATCCTTGTCATATTTGTAATAGTCAGGAATTAAAATATTTTTGGCGTAAGAAATTATAAAATTTAAGTTAAGAATAACAATATTTAAGTTAAGAAATATATCAATTCAAATAATTTGTAAGGAATTAAAGATATACAGTCAGAAATTAGATTTTATATATCAGGAATTATAGTTATACTGTTAGGAAATAATTTTAAGCAATAACACGAATTAGTATGTTTCAATCAGGAATTAGATATTTTGTGTCAGGTATTGAACAACTTTTGTCGGACATTACAATATTTAGTTAGGAATTGAATTAGAAAATTACTATGTTTTATTGAGAAACTATATGACGTACTCCCTCCATTTTTAAATACTTGCTCCACTTTCCTTTTTCGGCCGTTTTTATATAGTTGCTCCATTTCCTTATTTGGAAAATTTTTACAATATTTAATTCATTTTTACCACCTAGTGGACCCAATAAATATTATATTTTATTAATTTCATATTCTCTCACCTCCAAATTCTCCACTACTTTTGCTTGTTATAATTTTTTATTCTTCCACCAACCCCACTACCTCCATATTTTATTACTATCTCCAATTTCTCCTAAAACTCCGCGCATGGAGAAATGGAGCAAGTATTTAAAAACGGAGGGAGTATATATCAGGTAATAGTATATTTTGGTCATGCTTAAATATACTTTAGTCAGGAATTAAACTTGTTTTGAAAATTACTGATTTAATGAATCATCATCTTTTATTCAGGAATTAGATAATTTTTGTTAGGTATTACAATATTTTAGTTAGAAATTTAATAGTTTTTGGTCAGTTTTAAGATAACATAAGTCATGAATTACGTAAAATTACACAGTAATTATATATTATTACACAAGAATTATAAGTTTTTAGTTAGAAATTAAAATTGTTTTGAAATTTATTTCATCAGAAATAAGATTAGAATAATCATGTATTTGATTAAATGATTCAGGAATGAGATTTACAAAGTAACGAATTGAATTAATAATTAATTTTTATGTGTAATTACTATGGTTTAGTCAGGAATTACTTTATATATGTTAGGAATTACTCTATTTTTGTAAGCATTAAAATATTTTTTTTCAGGAAATAAACTATTTAAGATTATTTTAACACTTCATAAATTTTCAAACAATCATACCTATTATATTTGCAGCATCTTCATCTCTTTCTTCATCATCTCTTTCTTGATTGGTGTTCTCTTCTATAATTACATTATCTGCTGCATTCATTATTAGTGCTCAACACTTTAGGTATACAATCTGAAACTAAAATAGCTTTGCATGCAAATTATAAGTTCAATTAACTACGATCGGAAATCAAATTAGCCTTGCATGCAAATTATAAATAGAAATGAAATTAACTACGATCTGAAATTAAATTAGTATTGCTTGCAAATTATAACTTGAATTTAATAATGATATGAAAATAGATTAGCCTTGGTTGCAAATTATAAGCCGAATTTAACTCGAAATTAAATACGATATAAAATTAAGTTAACATTACATGCAAATTATAAGTCGAAATTTATTGTATGCAAATTTAAATTGCATCTAAAATTGAATTAGCTTTTTGTGAAAATTTATAAACTCGAAATTGATTATGAGCTAAATATGATCTGAAATTTAGTATAATCTGAAATTAAATACAATTTGCAATTAAATGCAATCTGAATTTAAGTTTGATATAAAATTATTAAATTAAATTGAAATAAATTGTACCTTTTTCAGCAGTAATTAAGCTCGAAATTTATTTTATAGGTGAATCAGTTTCTTCTTCAATTATCATTATGTTGTTTGATTTCTCCATTTTTCTAATTTGAATTTTCAAAAATTTGAAAATTTGAAAGCTCTGATGTTTGAAAAAATGAAGGAGTTCTTAGTTTCGTGAAACGAATGCATTCGCAATTTTGTTAGAAAATGTCGGCGCTCGAAATTTGAGGAAAGTGATACGGAGTAAATGATAAAAAATTAACACATTTATAAATTAGCGAGTGGGCTTTGGTCTGGTATCTCAGGCCCGCGCCTTCTTGATTAAGAGTTTGGTCTCACACAAAACGCTTTGTTTAGTGAGGATTACACATTGTTACTTCGAGGCCACAAGTTCAAACCCCTTCAACCAATTTATTGGGAATAGGAGATTTCCTTACTTCCCCCATCTACCCTCAACTCCTCAAATAGACCTGTTATTTAACAAGGTAACCCATTGATAATTGGGTCAGACCCAAATTTATAGGGCCTTATTGGTTAAGGTCAATATAAAGTTAAAATACTTGTTTAATTTAATACAAAAAGCAATTAGTCAATGCAAATTTTAAGATGCACCATAGTGCACCTAAAAATAGGTGCACCACGCCTATATTTCTAAATATTTAGTAAAAAAATTTGAACAATTGCAAATTTTGAACATGTAGTAAAAACATCTGAACATTGCAAATATTGAACATTTAGTTTAAAATCTGAACAATCTCAATGCATCACTTCTATACTATTGAACATTTAGTAAATAAATCTAAATAATCGCGAATTTTGAACATTTAGTTAAAAAAAATATTAACATCGCAAATTTTGAACTTTTAGTTAAAAAATTTGAACAATTGTAATGCACCACGCCTATACTTTTGAACATTTAGTTAAAAAAATATGAATAATAACAAAATTAGAACATTTAGTAAAAAAAACTGAACAATCGCAAATTTTGAATTATTATGAGTCAGACAAATTTTGAAAGAAGTTTGTCTGACTCGTAACTGAACATTTATTGTGCACAAAATGAAAGTTTCTTTATAAATTATATACATAAAAATTACATGTTTATGTAAAGTTTTTGTGACGTGTTCATATATTTTTTTTTCTAAATGTTCATATTTTGTAAAACGTTCAATTTTTTTTTTACTAGATATTCAAAAGTATAAACGTGATGCACCTATTTCTAGGTGCACCATGGTGCACATAATACTAATTGCTGATCGCCCTAATCCCCATGACTCAATTTCATCATAATGCTAATAATGTTGTAAGTAAACCCTGGCTCTAAAAGTTTTGTTATACATGCAAAAAAATTACTCCATTCTTCCCAGAATAAATGGGATGTTGGACTTTTTTACCATTCATGTATTAGCTTTGACTAAATTTTTTATTAACATACTCTCTCTGTCCCCCATTGATAGCCATTTTTGCTAAAAAATCACGGGAATTAAGGAGAAATAAAGAAAGTACATTGAAAAAATAAATTTAAATTGGGTATGCAAAAAAGTAGAGAGAGAAAGTAATTAAAGTACATGGAAAAGTAAAATTTACATGGAAAAGTTAAATTTGCACACATATTTTTGCAAATGTTAAAGAATTTTGGTAAAAAAATAATATTAATGCTACTTGTAAAAAGCAAATGCAACTAACATTTTGAGTCACCATAAATGGCAAAAGAGACTACCATTGGGGGACGGAGGGAGTATTAAAAACATATTTTATCATAAAATATGTTGTTAGATAGGTATTTATATGACGTTTCATAATAAAAATTTTAAAATGATTTTCATTAACATTAATTTTTATAAAAAGAAAGTCAAATTAGTGTATCGACGTGTGTGCAATTAAAGTTGATTATGTTAGTTATTATGGGACATGGGGAGTAATAACCTCTAAACCCTTGTTGTTTTTTAACCCCGTCAATTTGTCAAGCGTTAACTGTTGGGCTAACAAAACTTGTGAGAGGTTTTGGTTCACTAACGGTGTGTTTGGATTGAAGGAAATGGAGGGAAAGGAAGAGAAGAGAAATGTAGAGATGAAGTATCTTTCATTTGGATAGCAAATGAGAAAGGGAGGGAATTGAAGGGGAGAGAAATTGAAGGATTAAATTGTAGAAAATTAATTCCTCCAACTATGAAAAGATTTGGAAAGAAAACTCACCATTCTTCCCTTTCCCTCCCCTCCCTTTCCCTCCCCTCCTCTTCTCCTCCCTCCCCTTCTTTTCTTCCCCCTTTTTTATCCAAACAAACTGTAAGTTATTACATTTTACCACAAAAAAGTAGATTAGGAACATCTTGTCGCAAGACCGTGCCTTAATCTAGAAGTAAAAATGTATACAAAGATTATATCTTATTAATATTTCATGCTATGCAATTTCAGTTCCAAATAATAATATATAATATACTTGTATAATAATAAACTCTAGCATACATGGTTAGGATTGATTACATACTATATTTATCAATGAAGACCTTTGAGAGAAGGTTCAATGGCAAGATAAACTTGGTACCACCCATTTTGTGTAGGGTGAACTGTGTCCCAAAAGAATGCTAAAGTAGGCTTATCACATACTGTGTACTTGGCTTGATCGCCGTCGTTGCTCCCACAACCGAAATCGCCTGAAACACCTTGGCAACATGGCTGCAACAAGTTACCGTAGTCGAAATTTCCTGCACCATGGAACGAGTCATGGTGGTAGTTAAGTTATAGTTAAGTAATCCTTGGAGCCAAAGTACGCACTAATTTCAAAAAGAAAATACAAAAGCAAATGTTATCCTTATCAGTTAAAAAGGGAGCAAGGTTGTATGTAGATTAGTTTATTCAAGCAACAATGACCTAAAATAATAATGTGGAGGAATGATGCAATTAATGCAATTATGGCCATACAAAGTGTCATACCATTACTTGTAACACTACAACTTGTGTTTTTTAACATGACATAATAGGCTATGATTTATTTTGAGTTTAGCGTTTAATGGAATAAAATGTATACGCTTGAGAAAATTGTGAAAAGGGGCTTTTTAAGTGGTCGACTTTTTTAAAAATGATCTTTTAAGGGAAAACTTGTGAAAAATTACATTTTAAATTGAATTTTATTTATATGGGGTACTTGGCTGACCTTGCATGGTGGTAAACGCTGGAGCTTCGACGTGGTGGTCAACGCTGTTTTTTTTTTAAAAAAAAAATCCCCGAATTTCCCACCTTTACCGACCTAACCATTTCATTGAATGCTTTGTCTTCAATTTGGGTTAAGTCGGGAAATGAGGGAAATTTGGAGAATATTTTTTTAAATAAGCCACGTGACTAACATGTAATAGTCAATAGTCAATGCCGGAGCTCCGGCGTTGACCACCACGCAAACTCACCCAAGTACCCTATACGAACAAAATACAACTTAAAAGGTTCTTTTTCACAAGTTTTAACATAAAATGTCATTTTTCAAAAGGTCAACCACTTAAAAGGTCATTTTTTCACAATTTTCTCTTTATATAATGTACATAGAACAAAAAAAAACAATGATTTAAACGAGATTCAATCGCAAGTCTTGTTACTAATAAATTTAACCACAGTTAAGACTTCATAAGATAAGATAGCTAACATCATTTTTAATGACTACTTGTAATTTGTATGGTATTTCATAAATATAAATTATTACAATATGATAATTCTAAACTTAATGTATGTGTTATGTGTAAACAAGTAAGAATACGGTTAATTATGATGAAAGGGAATGTTAGAGAGTAAGGAAGAATTAAAGACCTTTATTATGAGATTTTTGTTTCTGCAATGCTGATAAGAATGCACCATACAGGTCCAAGGTAAAGAAGGCGCCCGGTTCGTTGGATGTTTTGCTCGATATCGTCTTTAAATTTGCTTGGAGTAACTGATTGTGAGTTAGGGAGATGTCGTTTATACCTTGGGTGCAGTTCTTGTAGCCAGAGAATAATGTAATAGCAGGTAAACATCCTAAAGGCTCCATTGCTGTGACAGCTATCTTTGGTACGCCTAAGTTATGAATCCGTTGAAGATCTAAGACCAATTGGTTAACAACTGACTTTGTGAAGTCTGTCAAATTCTATAATCACAAAATATAAAAGTAAAACATTAATTATACGTGAAGTGAAAGCTTAATTAGATAAGTTGTTTAGTAACAATAACAATAAAAATTTGAAAGGGTTAATTAATTAACAAATTTGAGTTCACAAAGATTGTGCTACTACTTATGGTAAAAATCTTAAAACAAAGTTGGCTGGAATAGCACAAACTATCAGTACAATGCACTCAACAACACGTACTTTAAGTGCAGCAATAATCACCCATTATTAAGCCATTAAGGTAGAAAATCTTACTTTTTCAAGGGTCCCCTAATTAAAAGAGAAGATTATTGCAATAAAAGCCCAATACTGTCATCTTCGAAGTGAGCCCAAGCCGACGATGAGATGCAATTACAATTGCTCTCTTTTGAAACTTATTATTGAGAGGTGCCGCCATAAGAAAAATATCAAAACCGCCAATATTTGAGGGGTGTTCGGTTCATTAAGTTGCAATGGATTGGTATAAAATCTCAAACTAAAGAGGTATAGATTCTTAAACTCATACTAGTCTAAATTTGTAAATTTGTTCGGTTTTATTGTTGGAATAGATTCTAGTCTTCATTAATATAATGCATTGTGAATCTTAGGCGTAAGGCAGGGTATGGGGGGAGTTAAAACCCCTTGGATAGGTATGAAATTCCATTAGTAAAAAACACTTAACCAAACAACAAACAAGATAGAATAGATTCTAATAATTCCATTCCAACCCGTTCCAAATGATCTAACCAAACGACCCGTTAGTGTGAATGGACTACCATGTCTTAGTACATCACCACTATCTGACAAATTAGGGTGAAAGAGATTATCGAATGGCTTATTTATTATTGATCATTAGGTAGAGAATTTATACAAAACCTAAGCTTATTCAATCTTCCTAACAAAATATAATAGCCTAACCATAAATCGTAAAGATATATTCTCTAAAAAATATTATAACATAAAATAAACCTCAATATACTTTTATTCTCTAAAAGATATTTATGAAAAATATATCACGCATATATTTTCTAATATATCATATTTGTAACACAGTCTTCCCACTTGCCATCAATCACTAACACCTTGAAACCACCACCTTGATCGGTGACAACCACCACTACCCTGACTTACAATTACCACTACCACCACATTGACCGACGACCACCACCACCACCACCACCTTGACCAACGACAACCAGGTTCACCTTGACCGGGCACCCACCACATCCCCCTCGATCAATGATGACCCACCACCCTCCCTTGTCGGAGGGAAGGTGGTGGTTTTTTTTTTTATATTTTCAGCAATCGCACCCATGGTAATCGGTTTTGGGTTCCGAGTACACCATGCTAATCGAATCTGGAAACTGGCTACTAAGCACGGTAACCGAAGCCCAAAGACGGTTAGCATGCTCGATAACTGGTTTTGAGCTTCAGTTATCGCGGTTGCTGGAATAAAAAACCTACCATCTTCTCGCCTGGAGGGAAAGTCGTGGGTTGTCATTGAGGGGGATGTGGTGAGTTGTTAGCGAGGATAAGAGGTGGTATAGGTAGTCCATTCACAACAAATGTTGGCAGTGTTTAGCAATCCCTTTATTACATCATTAATTTGTTATTAGCGCAAGTATCATACACATAGTATAAATCCGTATCATCCGACAAACTATTTTTTTCCTAGGCTTTTACATAGCTTATCATAATTTTGAAATGCTCAAGATATTAGTGTTATATATATTTGGAAATTTTGTGAAAAACAACCTATTATATTTCAAAATTTTTGAGAAACTACCTATTAAAAATATTGTTGTAATTGACTACCTAACTTTTGAAAAATGTTGTCATTTACTACCTTAACGCCGGATTATGAAGTAAGTTAGACCTAAATTTTCCGACGTGTTGACTTGGCTTCGTGACACATAGTGACCATCACGTGGGCAAACTGTGAGAAAGAAAAGGGTCATTGAATAATGTGACGTGATGGTAACGTGACCAAGTCAATGCCGGAGAATTTTTGTCATACTCATGCATAATCCGACTTAAGGTAGTAAATTACAATATTTTTCAAAAAGTAGGTAGTCAATTGCAACATTTTTTTTAATAGGTAGTTTTTTCGCAAAATTTCCTATATATTTTATAGTACGTGACCCTTGTACATGTTATGCAAATTGTTAACGCGTAATAGTGGGTGTTAGGCTTTCATTCCTATTGATTTAAGGGTTCGTGAAATGATGATTTACTTTTCTATAGTGTCGATATATGTTCATTAACATGAATACATGGCATGTGTAGGTGAGTAGGTCATGAGGTTTGCATTACAAATGAAAGATAAGTGCTTTGTGATTCATAATAATTTTGAACCAAAAATGCGTGTTAGTTGAAACTAATGCTCAAAATTAGTGCTATGTTTTAGTGGTCCTTAAATTTAAAGGACATGAACTATTAAGAATAAAGTTATTAGTGAAGGAAATGTGTCCTCGACTCTCGTGCAATTACTAATATAATATGGATCGTATTATGGAGATAATAAGTTCGTTTAGTTGGGTCATCTTTACGTCTTGCTAGAGACCAATATTGATCATTGGGTTAAACCAATGCCAACTAAATGGATCCTATATATGAGGTCACACGTTACAGTGTTAGGTCGCACATGAATACCGAGTCCAAAAGTTGGGCTTAGTGAATGACTGGCCATAAGGAGTAAGATAGGAATAAGTCTTGCCCTAATTAGATAATATGATTATATTTAATAAAGGGCTTGGGGAAAAATAAACAACAGACGTTCATCTCTCAAAAAGAAACTACGTAATATTTTTCCCTTCCTCTCTCTCTCTACAACCGGTTGGAAACTCTCCATAGAAGAGGAGATTAATCTTTCCCGTCCAACTAGCATTGGTGGAGGTTCGATCTACACTTGTGGACCAATATTAGAGGAGCAACAACTGGGGCTCTAATCTCCGCAAGAAGGTAGAAGAAAGCTTGGGAATTCACGCATCAAAGGTTAAATCTAAACTATTATGTGATCCTTTACTTGTATATGCATGAGATCCTTTTGAGGTGCGTATGAATGAGATTCACGAAATTCCGCTTAGAGTACCTAAAACCCTACAGTGGTATCAGTTAGCCCCTTGCATATAATTTATTGGTCACAATAATATGATTATTTTGATGTATTTTATGTTAATTTTAATTTGATTAAGGGGAGGAATTGAAGTATAGATCGAATAACCCAATTAAAATATGATTTTGATTGATTGGAATTGAGTAAATGTAGATTTAATTGCTCAATTTTTTTTAACCCTAGCCGAAATTTTTTTAGCCCTAAATGCATTAATTAATTATCTGATTTTTGTTGTGTTATGAACCCTAAATTCGAAAATTAATGTGTTAATTTCATATTATTTGATTTAATTTCTCATACTTAAAAGGTTTTTAGTGTGATTAATTAATTCATGTAAAAGAGATTTATATGAATTAGAAATCAAATTTTATCAAAAACCCTATATTATTTAAAATGGAGATTTTAAATTAATTTTCTGAAATTATGCGTAAAGGAGTTTATGTTTAATTTAATTAGATCACCAAATTAATTTTGCAAGAGTTGTGGAATTAATTTATCTCAAAAAAAAAAAGTAAAACAAGAAGCTAAGTGGGAGCAGCCATGGCTGGGTGGCAGAACAGCCCATCGGTGGTCCACCATGGCTGCTCCGGTGGTCTTCAGGGGCGCAGGGGATGCAGGGCTGCGTTTTCAGGGGAGGGCAGTGGCGGCAGTGGCTAAAACGTGCAACTGTTGCACAGTTCCAACCATTGCACTAGTTGCTGGCTGTGCTGGGGTGGTGCGCCAGCCAGTGCTGCCGTGGCTGGGGACTGCTTGGCTGCGGTGGCAGGCTGTTGCGGCGGCTGGGCTCCGGCCTGGCTACTGCGGCGGCGGTGCTGTGGCTGGGTAGCCTACACAGTCACGGCAGTCCCCTGTTTCAAGTTTTTAAAATAAAAAAAAAATTGATAAAAATAAAGTATTTTAATTAATTTTAAATTATGGATTTAAATTTAATTATGGATAAATGTTTGAAAATCTGTTTTCAAGGAGATAAATGAGAAATTCCAATTATGGTTATTTGACTTGGTTTATGTGATTATCCATAATTTGATTTTTTAATCAAATTAAAATTAGATGGTTAACTAATGATTAGGATGAAATTTTAAATTTGTTAAGATAATCCTAGAATATAAATGTGATTTATTTTCTTAGATTATATATTTATTTGATTTCATCTCATTCCTAATTTAAATATATGATATTTTGATTATGGTAATGAATAATATGGATATATTATCTAATCGTGTCCTAAAATATGTGATATTTTGAAATATATGTTGCCATAATTAAGTATATGTGATATTTTAGTTTAGGCAAAGTATGCTATGTGATTTATTATGTGGAAATTGTATGTTATATATGATATATTATTATTGCTATAAGTGACTAGTATGGCCCAAAGTTTAAATTAGAAAATACGATCTGCGTATCGTTGTGTATTTTTGTAATTTAAATACGATTTGCGTATCGTTAAGTATTTTTGTAATTTATTTTAATTATGAATTAGTTTAATTATTTAAATACTTAATTAATCCAAAGAAGAGCCCAAGATAAGAAGGCCCATGATGAAAATGGATGGAGATCCATGAAGAGTTCAAGGAGGTGCCTAATCAAGCTTAGTTCTTAGGATTATGGGCCATACTAGCCCATATTTAATTTTATTCATTTTATTATTATTCTTAAAATGTTTATAAAGTTATTGAATTTTGTTATCAAATGCGCTAGAGTTCACTGATTTATAACAACATAATAAACTTAAGTCCCACAATATTGAGGATCGCTTTTCCAAATATAAAGTACTTATTAAACACTTGATTAATAGTAATGGGTCATGCCTCCACAGGGCATTATTATTAATCTTGGGAGGTAAGGTGAAATTGCGAATTTTGCACACTTAATTTGGTCATCCTC